ATTTGGCTGAGACTTCAAACTGCCGCATTTGGAGACCGCCTGTCTTAGAAGTTCCAGTATTTGTATAAATAACTGATAGGGAAAGATGATCCACTCTGGAGTCTGCCCAGGGGCCCTGGGAACTGTGCTGGGGCTGTGGAGCCTCCCAGAGTTTTGGTGGTTCTCCAGTGCCAAGTGAGTGGGGCAGGAAGTGTGGGTGGGGGTCTCCAAACACCAGCACCCACCCAAATTCAGGAAGGGGAGCAAGAAAGGTCTCCTCCATCCACTGGGAAGGAGGCTCAGGCAATAACGGTGGGAGTGAAGTGGTGATTGTGGCTCTGAGTGTCACCTGGGCTGTCACCTTGCCAACCCTGTGCTGATGTCGGGGTGGGGGATGACAGGGGTGTCACTGTCCCCACCAGGGACAGTCTGTCCTGCCCGGGGAGAGTCTGAGCACAGCGAGGGGTGCACGGAGAGTGGCACGTGGGGCAGGGCATGGTGAGGGCAGCACAGAGGGCTGAGGGCTCATGGGGAAGGACAGGAACGGGATGGTGTGGGGTGCTTGGCACTGGGGACTCGAGAGGGGCTGGAGGGCACAGGGATGGGATGGAGAGCACGGGGAAGGGCGGGAGAGCACGGCGAGGGGCTGAGATGTCCGGCGGGGATGCCGGGGGGGAGCGGGGCGGGCCGGTGCAGCGCGTCCGGGGGGAGGAGGTGCCGGCGCTCGCTCCCCTTCCCTCGCCCTCCGGAGCGAGCAGCCCGGGGCCACCCCGCGCCTTTAAAGGCTCCTCCTCCGGCGCGGAGGGGACCCGGCCCCGCCGGTCCGGCCCGAGGGCTGCGCCGGGAGCGCGGCGGGGAGCGCACGGCGGGGCGCGGGGCCGGTGCCCCCAGCCCGGCCGAGATGAGCCCCCTCCCCGCCGGCAACGGCAGCGCCTGGGGGGGCTCCGGTAACTGCAGCGGGACCGGCAGCCTGGGCCGGCAGTGGGTGCTGGGGACCGCCATCAGCCTCACCGTCCTGGTCACCGTGGCCGGTAACTTGCTGGTGATTGTGGCCATCGCCAAGACGCCGCGGCTGCAGACCATGACCAACGTCTTCATCACCTCGCTGGCGTGCGCCGACCTCATCATGGGCTTGCTGGTGGTGCCGCCGGGGGCCACCATCCTGCTGAGCGGCCACTGGCCCTACGGCACGACGGTGTGCGAGCTGTGGACCTCGCTGGACGTGCTGTGTGTGACGGCCAGCATCGAGACGCTGTGTGCCATCGCCGTGGATCGCTACCTGGCCATCACCTCCCCGCTGCAGTACGAGGCGCTGGTGACCAAGGGCCGGGCCCGGGCCGTGGTGTGCCTGGTGTGGGCCATCTCTGCCTTCATCTCCTTCCTGCCCATCATGAACCACTGGTGGCGGGACGGGGCGGACGAGCGAGCGGCGCGCTGCTACGACGACCCGCGCTGCTGCGACTTCGTCACCAACGTGACCTACGCCATCATCTCCTCCACCATCTCCTTCTACGTGCCCCTGCTCGTCATGATCTTCGTCTACGTGCGGGTTTTTGCCGTGGCCACGCGGCACGTCCAGCTCATCGGCAAGGAAAAGGTGAGGTTCCTGCAGGAGCCCCCCAGCCCCGCGGGCAGGAGCAGCCGGCGCAGGCGGCCCTCCCGCCTGCTGGCCATCAAGGAGCACAAAGCGCTCAAAACCCTGGGCATCATCATGGGCGTCTTCACGCTCTGCTGGCTGCCCTTCTTTGTGGCCAACATCATCAAGGTCTTCTGCCGCTCGCTGGTGCCGGACCAGCTCTTTCTTTTCCTCAACTGGCTGGGCTACATCAACTCGGCCTTCAACCCCATCATCTACTGCCGCAGCCCCGACTTCAGGAGCGCCTTCCGCAAGCTGCTGTGCTGCCCGCGCCGCGCCGACCGCCGGCTCCACGCCGTCTCACAGGACCTGCAGCGCTGCCCCTGTGCCTTCAGCCCTCGGGGGGACCCCGCAAGGGACAGCAAGGCGGCCCCCGGGCGCCCCGGGGAGGACGGCGAGGCTCGGGGCAGCGGCAGCAGAGCAGAGGAAACTCCCCTGCCCCCGGGCAGTGGCCACTGGCAGCGGCCCCTGGGCGAGTCCCGGCTGCAGGGCGCGCAGACCTCGCTGTGTTCCCAGCTGCATGAGTAGGTACCTGCAGGCATTTGCTCGGGAGGGGCTCGGGGGGTCCGGTTCAGCCCTTTGGGGGCTGACTGGGGAGGCTGTCGGTGCTGGGACTGTTCTGTGACAGCGCGGTGCAGAGCTGGGGGAGCAGGCAGACCCCGGGGTACGTGGGTGAGGCTCTGGGATGTGGGACCGGGCACCACTGCCCTGCTCCCTGATGTTCCCCTAAAACTCTGGTCCCTCCACTGGGCTGCAAAATTGGGGTCCCAACCAGTCCCACTCCAGCCTGCCAGGACCTGGTCTGCTGTTCCTGGGTAAAGGAAACACGGGAGCAAACCAGCTGAGCAGGAATGTGTCCCAAAAGCTGGCATTACCCCATTCTCCTCCCGATCCCACTTTCTGCTGCTAAAGAAGGAAAACGCGGGGACCCCTTCCCAGCGAGGCACTGCGGCTGCCGTCGCCACGCTGGGCTCTGCAGGTTGCTTTGCCCTCCAGCGGTGTAAATCTGGGAAGGGAATTAATTTCATCCCGCTCAGTCCCATGACGGGAAATGCGCTCCCAGAGCCGGCAGCCCGGACAGAGAGGGGGCTGGCAGGGCTGCTGGGGGCTGGCAGGGACTGGCAGAGGGTGGCAGGGCTGCTGGGGGCTGGCAGAGGCTGGCAGGGACGCCCATGCTGTGGCTCTGCCCTGCCGGCACCCTGACACGGATTTACACCTCCATTTACAGGGTGGGGTTTTTTATTAGTATGACAAAATTGGAGTTCTTCTGGTTACTGTGCCTTTTAACCGTGTTTCTCTCCTGATGCCTGAGGGCAGGAGAGGTTTCCTGCCAGGATGTGCAGGTAGAGGTGCTGGAGGAGTTCCCTGGGCAGGATTCACCCATGCTGGGCGCTGCGTGGTGGGAGGCTCTGGGCTCTCACCCCCTGCGCTCCCTCATTTCAGGTTTGCTGGCGGAGAAACGCCCGCGGGTCCATCCGACTGACTGGGAACAGCCGAGAGCTGGGAGGAGAGCACTTCCCCGGCCGGGTCATCGCCGCTCCGGCCTCTCCTCTGCCCGCCTTGGCCGCCGCCCTCCCCGGGGACCACAGCCCGTGGCCAGCCCCAGGCTGCTGCCCGGCTTCGGGCACGTGAGTCCGGATCAGCCCGGCCACAGCCGCCTTAACCCTCCTCGTGCTGCTGGAGCTGCACACCGCTCCCGGATCCCTCCTGCGCCCGCTGGGGTGGCGGCTGTGGGTCCCTGTCCCCAGCCGAGCCTGGTGGGTGGCACTGTGTCACCTCCCACCCTCTCCTTGCAGGGCCGGGGTTGCAGAAGCAGCGCCAGGGGTGACGGTGCTGGCAGGAGCCTGCGGTGCCTGCACCGACCCGGAGAGGAGGAGGATCTCCCTGGGAACGCTGGTGGTCTTGGGACAGCACCAGCTCCTTCGTGCTGGAGACCTGGAGCTGGGGAGAAGCTCTGGAGCTGCTCACCAAGGGGCAGCAGAGCCTCAGGGATGTGTGGGCAGGGGACAAACTCCCGTCTGGGGTGTTCCTGGCACGGCTGGCAGCGGGATGTGGAGACTGCCAGCTCTGCTTTCTTGAAGGACAAAGGACCCTATTGTCCCAGGCTTGGCCAGTTTCGGACAGTCTGCTGAGAAGGAGAGAAGAGCCTCCTGCAGGCTCGAGCCCTTCCCAGGATTTCTATCCCTGCCCCAGCTGCTGCATTCCAGGGCCGAGCGCAATCCTGGAGCTTCAGCGATGCCTTCAGCAAAGGAAAAGCTCAGGGGAATGAATGAGGAGAGCTCCGAGCACGGAGCACTTCCAAAGGCAGCGAACTGGGATCGCCTCGGCTCTCTCGGCAGTTTCCCCCTCTCCTCTGGGACAGATGTCCCTGGGGGACGGGAGGTGGATTCTCATCTCACAGAGATGCCCTGCCCACGCTGCTGTCAGCATGGTCAGTGTCTGCACAGTGTTTGTCCCGGTTTGTGTCCCCCCTGCCGTGTGAAATAAATAAACCTCTGGATCCCTGCGGTGCCGCCAGGTCTGTCCCGAGCAGCGGGTGCTGCTCCATGTGCTGCTCCCGGGGGGCTGCCTGAGGTTCGGGGGGTCCATCCCCGTCCTGGGGCCGTGGCTGGCAGGGGAAACCGCGCTGGGCATGGCGCGGTGCTGGCCCCGAGCGCTGCCCGTGCTGCCGCACCCCGGGAGGGCGGGCGGAGCTGCCCGTGCCACCTCCCGGTGCCGCGGAAATCAATCCCGGCTCCGGCACAGGAGCCGCACCCGGGATGCTGCAGGGTGTCCGGGACCGGCACACACCTGGACTCACTCACCTGTACACACACAGCTGTACTCACCTGTACTCACTCACCTGTACACATGCATGCATTGACACCTGTACACACACACACCTGTACACACCTGTACTCACTCACCTGTACACACACACCTGTACTCACCCTTGCATAGACATCTGTACACATACACCTGTACACTCACCTGTACACACCCATACATACACACCTGCACACACACATCTATACACACTCACCTGTACGCACCTATACTCAGCTGTACATACCCATGCATAGACACCTGTACACACTCACCTGTACACACCTGTACACACTCACCTGTACACATTAACCTGTACACACCTGCACACACACACCTGTACAGTCACCTGTACACATTCACCTGTACACACTCACCTGTGAAATAAATAAACCTCTGGATCCCTGCGGTGCCGCCAGGTCTGTCCCGAGCAGCGGGTGCTGCTCCATGTGCTGCTCCCGGGGGGCTGCCTGAGGTTCGGGGGGTCCATCCCCGTCCTGGGGCCGTGGCTGGCAGGGGAAACCGCGCTGGGCATGGCACGGTGCTGGCCCCGAGCGCTGCCCCTGCTGCCGCACCCGGGATGCTGCAGGGTGTCCGGGACCGGCACACACCTGGACTCACTCACCTGTACACACACAGCTGTACTCACCTGTACTCATTCACCTGTTCACATGCATGCATAGGCACCTGTACACACACACCTGTACACACCTGTACTCACTCACCTGTACACACACACCTGTACTCACCCTTGCATAGACATCTGTACACATACACCTGTACACTCACCTGTACACACCCATACATACACACCTGCACACACACATCTATACACACTCACCTGTACGCACCTATACTCAGCTGTACATACCCATGCATAGACACCTGTACACACTCACCTGTACACACCTGTACACATTCACCTGTTCACATGCATGCATAGGCACCTGTACACACACACCTGTACACACTCACCTGTACACATTAACCTGTACACACCTGCACACACACACCTGTACAGTCACCTGTACACATTCACCTGTACACACTCACCTGTACTTACCTGTAAACACAACCTGTACACTCACCTGTACACACCTGTACTCACTCACCTGTACATACACACCTGTACACATACACCTGTAGACACACAGCTGCACACACACACCTGTACACACTCACCTGTACACACCTATACTCAGCTGTACACACCCATGCATAGACACCTGTACACACTCACCTGTACACACCTGTACACACTCACCTGTACACATTCACCTGTACACACCTGTACACACACACCTGTACAGCCACCTGTACACATTCACCTGTACACACTCACCTATACACACTCACCTGTACTCACCTGTACTTACCTGTAAACACGAACCTGTACGCTCACCTGTACACACCTATCCATGCATAAACACCTGTACACACACACACCTGTACACACACACACACCTGTACTCACCTGTACACACCTGGGTGACGGTGCTGCGGGCGCGGGGGCTGCGCGCCAAGGCGGCGGCGGGCGGCAGCGACGCGTACGCGGTGATGGCGCTGGGCCGCGACAAGTTCCGCACGTCGGTGGCCGAGCGGTGCCGGGGCGAGCCGCTGTGGCGGGAGGAGGCCACGTTCGAGCTGCCGGCGCGGCCCGCCGCCCTGCGCCTCACGGTGCTGCACCGCGCCCTGGCCGGCGCCGACAAGTTCCTGGGCCGCGCCGAGGTGGAGCTGGCCGCGCTGAGGGACGACGGCGGCCGGCGGCACACCAGGTGCGACCGGGGGGCTCCGGGGCAGGGATGGGCACCCGCGGCCGCCGGGGTGCGAGGGCTGCTGTGTGCCGCGGGAGCTGGGGACAAGGATGGAGAGGCTGGGGAGGAGGTTTTGGGGGGGGTCTCTCAGCCCCACGGGGGTCACGGAGAGGTGTGGAGGGGAGCTGTGCGGCCCTCGGAGGTCTGAGGGGGATTGTGTGACCCCTCGGAGGTCTGAGGGGGATTGTGTGACCCCTCGGAGGTCTGAGGGGATTGTGTGACCCGCGGGGGCTGGGGAGGACGGTGAGGGGTGTCTCTGTGTCCTTCGAGGGGGTGCAGTGCTGTGAGGAGTCCCCGTGGGATGGTGTCCCCGTTCCTCGTGGAAACCTCTGTGCTCCTCAGGCACGGGGGAGAGCCCTGTGCCCCCGTGGAGCCCGTGTGTCCCTGGTCACCCTGTGCCCCAGGGCAGCGCGGGGTTCTGCTGGGGGACTCTTGGGGGACACGGGGACCCCTGAAGCCCCAAAAGTGCCCACGGGGCGACCCCTCTGAGCCCTCTCTGAGCTGGGGAGTGCCTTCTCCTGGAAGAAGCTGGGGGTCCAGAGAATGCTGTTCCATCCAGTCCTGCCTGGTCCTCGGGTTTGATTTCCAAACATTTCCGTGTGAGTGCTGACACTACAGAGCAAACAGCGAGCCTGTCCCCCGAAACCTGATGTCCTCAGAGTGCTGCCTCCTTCCAGCAGGGACCAAGCCGGTTATTTATTTTTGCTAACAGACACTTGAAGCGTGTCAGGGTGGATAATTCCACCTTCCACGAGCTGACTCGGAGCCGGGGCCGCTCCTGCCCAGCGCCAGCTCTGTGTCACACTCGCTGCTTTGAACACAAACACGGGCACGGTGAAACCCAGGGGTGGTGCCCGGGAGGGTTTTACTGGGAGTCAGCAGCCTTGTAATGTGCTGGTGAGTCACCTTCCTCCCCTACCTCACCTGAGCACCGTCCCGCTTGTCAAGGCTTAATTAGGCCGCGGGTTCATTAAGGCTGTGTCAGACTCGGCTGTGTTTACACTGCGGAGCCCCTTGGTCAGCAGAGCTCAGGGCCGGTGCCTCAGGCACCCGGGCGCGTTCCTTTGTGTCTGGGCAAAGGAAAATTGAGGGGGAGAAAAAAGGAAAACACAGCTTTGCTACTCCTGGGGAAATTTCTGATGTTTGCAGTTGTTTCCAGCCCTCAGTTTCCTGTTGGAAGCCTGTGTTGTTCTTGCTGCCATGGTGATGTATAGCCATAAAGGAGTAGTTTTATTGGAAAAGAGATAGATGTTGATTGACAGGTGCTTGCTAACACCATAAATGCCACTAATGAGATTTTTTTGTGGTTTGGGGGTTGTCACTCTGTGATTTCCTTCCAGCCACCCCCAGGGGTGCTGCTTTCAGCCGGGGCTGAGCTGCCCTTGCTGAGCACGGCGTTTGCCCGTGGCTCCCGGGATCAATTGTGGCACCGAAGCCCTGCGAGCACAGGATGCTCCTAGAAATCACAGCTTTGGAACAAAATGCCCAGTGCTGGCTCGTGTTAGAGGCAGAGGAGTTGTGATTCCCAGGCTGCTGCAGCTCCAGGGACTGGGCAAAGCCTCGGTCTCCTGATAAAAGCCCTTCCCTGGCTGTCTTCTAAGCCCAGGCCAGAGCACCTGACTGTCACTCAGGTGTTCATTTAGAGTCACAGAATCCCAGAATGGACCTTAAAGCCGATCTTGTCCACCCCCTGCCCTGGGCAGGGACAGCTTCCACTAGACCATTGCTCCAAACCTGGCCTTGAACACTTTGAGGGACAGGACAGGCACAGCTTCTCCAGGGCCTCACCACCCTCAGAGGGAAGAATTTCTTCCTCATTTCCCTCTGAAGTGTCTGTAGCAGATTCCCAAACCCATCTCCTTCAGGTATCCCCATTAGTTTTGAATTTTCTCTGGAGCAAATCACCTTTTCCTGTTCTCTTTTGTTGCTTCCAGTATACCTTTGGAGGTTGAAGTGCAAATTTGATGGCAGGGCACATTTGCATGCTCTGTTTGCTGCCTTTATTTTCCCGTTCCAGCTGGTGAGGAGGAAGAAACAAAGCAGTTTCCAGGCAGCCTTTCCTATGGGTCCTGTGGGGTCGGGAATGCTGTGGTTCCATCAACAAACAAAACCATACTGGTGTTCTGTGCTGGCTCAGATGTGGCTTGAGTGTCACCGAGGGGCGGTTGAGGGCGTGTGGGTGGTGGGATTGTGGTTTGGGATGCCCTGGGCACTGCTCACACAGAGCTTGTTGGGGAGAGAGAAGGCTCTGGCTGAGCAATGCCCTTCCTGGTGTGTGCCAGTCACGAGCAGGAGAGGGGAGTGGAAATCCCCGAGGTCTGGGAGGCTGGGGTTGGCTCTCTGGTGTTGATTAGGGGTTCCTTGGCTTAGGAGGCATTAAGGAGCTGGAATGAAAGGTATGAGGGCGTGGGACGCCTGTGCAGCTCTGAGGCTGCTGCTCTCGCTCCACTTCAAAGCTGTGGCCCCTGCCAGTGTCAGGAGGAGAGATGAAAGGGCAGAGGAGAGTGGCTGAGCTGAAATACAGGAATTCCATGTTGCGCCTCTGTTTTTTCTCCTTTTTTTTAACCCTTCCTGATCTGGTTTTAAACCAAATCTTATTAATAACTTTCTGTTTATGATAAGGAGTGTTTTCTTTGGCACCTGGGGCTGTGACCGTGACGTCACCATAAGATTAAAGGCTTTCTTTTCCTACACTGTGGGCTGATTTGATTTTTCAGCCATAAGCACCCTCTGTGTTCTCAGTTACCGGTGGTTAAAAAAATCTCCTTGTTGCTTCAGGTGGTACAAGCTTCACTCCAAACCAGGGAAGAAGGAGAAGGAGAGAGGGGAGATCGAGGTGGACATCCAGTTCATGAGGAGCAACATGACAGCCAGCATGTTTGATCTGTCCATGAAGGACAAGCCCCGCTCTCCCTTTGGGAAGCTCAAAGACAAGCTCAAGGGCAAGAGGAGCAGTGGCCTCTCAGACACAGCATCTGCGATCGTCCCCAGCACCTCCCACTCCCCTGCTGACAGCGAGGATGAGGCAGTGGAGAAGGAAAAGAAGAAATCCAAGTTCAAAGCGCTGTTCTCCAAGCCTGGCCTGCAGAAGACATCCTTGTCCCAGTCCATGTCAGTGCTGCCCACTCAGCAGCCCCTCACCCAGAGGGTTCGGCTGCGGCCCAGCGACTTCCAGGCGCAGTGGGATGAGGAGGAGTCCGAGACCTCTCCTGCCTCAGAACGTGAGTGTTGGCACAAAACCTTCCTCCAAAGGGTTCTTTACACTTTTCACAGCACTGGTTAAATTCTCCTTTCTGAACAAATCCATAGAAAGTCCCTGCTGGCAGTAAGGCTGTCAGTAGTGTCAGAGAAAAGGTTGTTCTTGCATCTACAATTTCTCCCTGTTTTTTTTTTTTTCTGAAGCCCCAGCAGATGTGGGCAGAAGGAGCCCCTCAGGAGACGCTCACCACACAGAGGAGGCCGTCACAACCAAGCAGCTGCTCAGCCCTTGTGAGGAGGAACAGAAACCTGAGAAAGCTGCACCAGCCAAGACTAAAGCTGTGAAACCCAGGTGAGTCCCAGCTGCTGGCAGGAGTCGGGGTGGGCAGTGCTGGTGGCAGGTGGCAGTGGGCTGTGTCTGCCACACCTGGGCTCAGGTGCTGCTCTGTGGGTACCTGTGGGTTTTACGCTGGCGTTGGTGGCTTTGTTAGCAAAGAACAACTCCAGAGTTCTTCCTCAGTGTGAAAAAAAGATGGATGTAGGGGTGCTCCTTGTAAGTGATGCTGCAGTGGTGGTTCTCTAGTGCAGGAGGCACCTGTGCAGGTGCTGAAGGGGTGAATTTTCTTGCTGGATCTCTTGCACAAACTAACTCTGTCTGAGCTGTGTGGCTGCAGCCTCCCCAGGGTCTGAAATGCCTGTTCTAACATCTCTGCTTTCCTCTTCCCTACTTGGCTGTGGTCTTCCAAAGGGTAGCCTTGGAGCCCTTCTGCTTTTGGCATCGTTCACAGCAGCACAGAGGGATCTTGTGTGGATTTGTACATGAGGCTTTTTCGGAAATTCTGCTCCTTTAACCTTCATACAAATATATAAATTGTGTATGGGGTTTATTATATATATATATATATAGGTGTGCCCTTCTAATAAGGCTGTGTTTTGTGTCTGTCCCTAACTCCTCATTTTCAGTGCTTCTCAAGTTTGAGTTTCTTGCCTGTGCAGTGTTTTACATACTAATAAACCTGCTTGGGGTGCAAAGAGGCAGTGCTTAAAGCAGCAAAACCAAGCTCTGCAGCAGGAGAGTTTTGACATAAGCCCAGTGCTTGGTAAAGGTGAAATTAAGGATGTAAAGTGTCACAGACAAGGGGACCTCTCTCTGAGGTCTCTGTAAGGTATAGCTTATCTCCAGTGGCAGAGCTGATGGAGGCTGGTGCTAAAGCTTGTCTGTTCCTGCCTCGTGTTGCATCTGCAAGTGACATGCGAGTTTTTTGTCCCTTTTTGCAGACTGGGCCTGTCTCCAGAGGAGGAACCCAAAGCCACGCTTCCTACTCTTGCACCTGACCCCCTCCCTGCTTTTCTCTCTGTGCACCGTATCAGCAGTGCCAATAATCCTTTTATTTCTGAAGTGGGGCAGACAGTCCAAGTGCCAGATTCTGAAAACGTCATTAGTTCTCCTGCCTCTCTCACTTCTCCTGCTTTTGCTGCAGAGCTCTGGAATGACAAGAACCCCTTTACTCCTGAGTGGGACAGGGCATCCAGAGCCCTGGATCCCGACAGCATCGCCCGTTTCCCTTCATCCCATCATCCTGCAGCCTGTGTTCCCAAAGTGCCTCTTCCTGGGCAGGTGTCTGCCAGGGGCAAGAATCCTTTTGCTGCTGACTGGGAGCAGGGTCCTGAGGGCTCTGAGGCTTCCCAGGGTCTCTCTGGCTCACGCACACCTTCTGTCCCCTCTGACTGTCCTTTCAATGCCAACAATCCCTTCATGTCCAAGCGTGGGGCACAGGCAGTGCCAGGTTCCCAGGATGGTTCCTCCCCTTCCTGCCTTCCTGGTGGGGAGGACTGTTCTTCTACAGGACACCTTGCTCGTGGTGCTTCAGGGGGCTCTGCAGATGTGGCTTTAACCAGTGATGTCACAGCTGTGCCAGACCCTCTGGGCACCTTGTCTGGCCCCCCTGCTGGCCCCTCTGGGCTGGCTCCAGAGCCACACTGGGATTCTGCCCAGCTTCAGCCTGAGGGGTCTTTGGAAAGCAGCAAGCCAGGCCGTGGGAAATCTGTGTCCTTTGTCCTTGGGGAATGGCAGGGTGTTCCATCAGGTGATGTGGGTTTGGGTGGGCAGGAAGGTGGAGAGCAGCCCCTGGATTCCAGTGGGAGGTTACAGATGCGTTCAGGGGCAGCAGGAGAGCGAGCAGGGTTTGGGGGTGAGCTGGGAGCAGGGGGTGACCCATCGAAAGAGCTCTCTCATCCCACCTGGAACAGTGATGGAACAGCTGTGGAGGTCACTGGTGGGAGCACTGAGGCCTGCACAAGGGGTGACAAAGGTTTTGTGTCTCTCTCCAAGTGCAGTGACAGCCTCGTGCCAGAGGCTGACCAGGCACAATCCCCCGAGAGCGAGCTCAGGGAGGAGCAGGAGACCTGTGGTGGAAAGCAGTGGGCAGAATGTGTGCCCACGTTAGAGCCCCAGGCACCTCCACCTGCTGGAAATGAGCCACTGTCTCAAGTCTCAGCAACACCGAGAGCCTGCATGGTGTCCCCTGGGGAAGGGGATCCAGGGAGGGCTGGCAGTGAGGTCCTTGTGCCCCCAAAGCCAGCCCCACGACTGGCTGTGCTGCTGAGGAAATCCCCAGCCACTCCCCAGGCTGAGCTGAGGGGTGATGTTCCTGCTTCAGGGGATGGTGTAAAATCCACACCAGGGCTCCTGTTCCCTGAGCCCTCAGCTGCTCGTGGGTGCCTCCCTCAAGGGGGCTCCTTGGAGACTGTCACCCCTGCAGTGGCACCCAGAGGTAAGAGCAGTGGCAGGCCTTCAGGAAAGGAAGGTGGTGATGATTTGTCTGTCAGTCTCACAAATGTCAGGTCTGCAGTTCCTGTTCCCGGGGACCGGGGCTCGGCACTGGCCGGTCTTCCCGTGATCCCGGAGGGAGGCTCTGATGACGAGCTGCTGGGGGACTGCCAGGACAGCTGTGGGGCCACTGCAGGTGACAAAGGTGTTCTAGGGAATGGAGAGCAGCCCCGAGGTTTGACACCTTTGCGTGGAGAACAGCCAGAGCTCTGTGATAGCTCTGCTGCAGCCCCTGTGATCCCGGCTGCTCCGGGAGGAGGAGCAGGAGCCATTCCTGGTGCTTGTGAGCCAGGGAGCTTGGCTGTGCTGCCTGCTGCAGTGGGTGCTCCCAGGGTCTGTGTCCAGGGAGGTGACTCAGGCTTAGGTGTGACGTCTCATTCCAGGGAGTGTGACAGTCATTTTGAGAAACAAGAGCTGGAAAGGAGTGCAGGAGATGAGGAGCGTGCAGAGTGTGACTTCTCTGAGCCTTCTGCTTTCTCTTCCTCCCTATCAAGTCCTTGCCAGCCCTACTCTTCCTCTCATTCCCTTCTCTCTGACACCCCGAGTCGTAGAGCAGAGTCTCCGAAAAAGCCAAGAGCCGAGGGCTTCGCAGATAAAGCGGGAAATTCGGGCAAGAAGAAACTTCTCCAGGCACGGGTTTCACCCTCTGAAACGTTCCCTAACCAAACCCCACGGGGTGCTGAAACCGTGTCTCCCAAGCACAGGTGAGACATGTGGGGATCCCAGCAGGTACCTCCGTGCAGCGTGAGCTTTGCTTTGCCCTCTGGGTGCAGATCAGTCCCTGAGGCTGCTGCATCAGGCCAGGACAGCCCTGATTTGCTCTGGGGGCTGGGTTTGTCAGGGCTTGGCTGCTGTCACCCAGTGTGGGGTTGCTGCTGGCTCCAGGAGGGTCTGTGCAGCTCCTCAGGGTGCCCAGGGGAGCAGCTGCTCCTCACAGCTCTTAGGGGAGCTTAGGGAAAGTGCAGGGGGAATGGAGTCATTCCATCCCACTGGCACAAGGGCCTGGGGCTGAGCTGTTTGTCAGACAGGGAGGAGGGACACCTGGTAAATGCTTCATTTCCTGCCTGAGTGGGCTCCTCAGGGATCACCACCACTGCTGCAGCTCCTGCTCTGTGGGAGTGGTGCCACTGACCTGTCAGCCCTTGAGACTTCACCTGCAGAGCTCTGCCTGGGGTCTAGGGCACCTCTGGGCCAGTGTTTGCTGGAGTAGAAGTAAAATTTTGATCCTGTGTTAAAATCGGTGCTGTAAGTCCTGTGCAGGCCAATAATGACAGCACTTCCTCACAGCTGGTGGTGTCAGTTCAGATTGGACAAGGCCTAACACTTGTCTCAGGACAGCAGAAGCATTTGGTATGTTGTAAGATGACAAATGTGTTCTGATTAGGAAAGTCAGGCTGAAATACCAGTTTCTGAGGGATCAGAGTAGCTGCCCTGTGTTCTGTCTCCTCGTGTAGCCTGACCTGGCTTTTCTTCCATGACACACACAGGATGTATTTCCCTTCCTGCTGCTGCTTTATCTCCAATGCCTTAAGTCAATGAAGATAGTAGAGAACTGGAAAATACTTACAAAACCCCTGTGGCTTAGAAATACCTTGTCTTCCTGAAGCTGAATCTCTTTTCTTTCAGGAGATAGAGCAGGGAGGGAATCATCCCCAATTTCTTGCTGTATTTGTTCTGAGTCTAAAGATCTGTGCCATGCTGCTGTTACCTCTTCTGCCTGAACAACAGAACCCTTTTTTTTCCCGTTGCAGACTCCATCCTGTGAAGCCAATGAATGCCATGGCAAACAAGCCTCAGAGCAAGAACCTGAATGTCATCAGCACCATGAATGAAAAGCTGCTGGAAATGAGTGTGAAGGTATGGAGGGAAGTGGCACTTTCACTGTCCAAGCTTTGATCTATTTGAAGAGTTTGTGTATTCCAGATAGTTGGGACATAAACGTCCTTTTGGTCAGCCCCCAAGAGTGGGAGCAGTCCTTAAAAGCTTTTTTTTTCTTGCAGACTGGCCTATAAATAGAGCTGTGGCTCTTGTTTTGTGGGGGAGATTCTCAGGCACAGCCACTTCCTTGGAGCACAGTTATGCAGTTGGGTCAGCAGTGGGATTGAGAGGAGCTTTCAGCATAATCCTGGCCTCAAGAGAGATCTCCAGACTTGAGGCACAGCTTCCCTGGCAGGCTGGGAGCATCCCTGGCTCAGCAGGGAAAACCACTGGTCCCCTTATGCTCTGTCAGGGCTTTTTTGGGATATAGGGAAGTTAGAACAGAAATAACAGCAGTGCCTCCTCCTGGTGAGAGGGGAGAGGATGGGAGCTGAGTGATTCAGACTGACGTGCTGCTGTTTCAAGGGGTTCAAAACTTGCAGTGGGTGTTGTGGTGTTCTGATTGCACCTGAACTGTGTGAGATGCCCCACAGGAGCCTGCTGTGCTCACACTCCCTGCCTGGGCAGCGTTTTGGGAGCTGGAGGAGTCAGCAGAAGCTGCCCAGTACCTCTCATGCTGCTTGAGGGTTAAAACCAGATTTTTTCAAAGCAATAGGAAATGTGGGTGGGTGTTTCTTGCTGTCTAACCTGAATTTGGCTTTCCCAGTGTGCATTTAAGCAGCTGCTTTAAGCTTTACCAGGTTTGTTTGGCAGCAGCTGTCACCGTGCTGGTCTGTGTGTTGTGTGTCTGGTTTGGAATGTGCTGTGCCTGCTCTGACCCTGCCTTCCCTCCCTCCCTCCCAAGAAATACGATCCCTCAGACCCTGCCTATGCCTATGCTCAGCTGACACACGATGAGCTGATCCAGCTGGTGCTGAAACAGAAGGATACCATCAGCAGGAAGGACCTCCAGGTGCGGGAGCTCGAGGACTACATCGACAACCTGCTGGTCAGAGTCATGGAAGAAACCCCAAACATCCTCCGAGTTTCCATGGCTGGCAACAAAAAAGCTGGGAAGATGTGAAGGGTCTGGGGGTGTCAGTGGGCAAGGACTGAATCCCCCCCAGGGGAGGGTGAGGAGCTGGTGGTGCTGGTTGTGCTGCTCACAGAAAATGACCTTTTCCTGTTTCTGCCTTGAGCAACCCTCAGATTGATTAATAGTTCCATCAGGTGTTGTAATGAAGTCACCTTATTTATTTTTATTTTGGTTTTTATTTTTTGGTTTCTTCCCATTATTTGGGAAGGTCAGGCATTAATCCCAAGGCTGGTTGTGATGGGAAGGAGGAGGGTTTTTGATGTGTTTTGCTTCCCAGCAAGGCACTGATGATCCTTTAGGAAGATTTTTTTTAATGGTTTTGTTTTGTAGCAGCTTTTAGAGATCAGTTACTTTCCCTTCCACATCTGGAGTTGTAGTGCAATATAAATCCTTGTACAGTAGAGCTTGAGGATTTGATTGTTTTTAAAATAATAATTAACTACACTGGAGAAGTCCAAAGATGGCCCAGCTTCAGCCTTGGGCTGTAATTTAAAAGGAATTAATGCCCTGAAAGTTGACTGTAAGCTGGCCAAATCTCAGTTCATCTCATCAAGTGGACATTCCCAAGAGTCCTTCAAGGGAAGGTTTTCAGGTTTTTTGGAGTAGGAGACACTGAGGTTCACGGTACGTTCCTACCATAGGAATGGCCTCAATGAATTTAGGCCAAAGGTACATTTTAAATCAGAAATTGTTCTCTTAGTGTCTTAAATTTCTGCTCTGGAGGTTGTTCAGAGCAGGCAGAGGCTCTCACACCTTGTGCCCTGTGGGAGCTCAGTGACCATTTTTACACTGCATTGAGGAAACAGAAATCCTTTGGGCTTTGAAAGCCCTTCCAAGGTGATCAGCCTTGCCCTGGGGCTGGGCTCCTGCCTGCTCTGCTCCCAGTGGGAGGAAAACCCTGTGCAGCTGAGGGAGCTGGGTGTGCTGGACAGTGCAGGGCTCCTGGGGGTCTCAGGGGTGGTCTCCATCCCCTCAGGCTGCAGGAGCAGCCACCACAGCCTCCCCCACTGCAAACTGACCAGGGCTTTGTTTGCTGAGCCCTTGGCACACAGCAAAACATCAGATGCCTTCTGGGACCCCTGGGATTTGCCAGGGTAGGGAGGGTCCAGGAAAGGCTTAGAGGGAAGCTGGAAAACCAACAGAGCCCTGCAAAGGACCAAAACTTCACGAGGACCAAAGCTGAAAGCTTTCCAGCCTTAATTCTATGGAAATAAACACTCCTACCTTTGGAAATGGTTGGGTTACTGGGTCACTCCTGGCCCAGGGGTGAGTTTCTAACTCAATTTTTCTACAGGAAAGCACTTTATTGGGGGGCTGGAGCAGCTGGATGACTCTCACCCTGTGAGCAGTCTGCTGACAATGTCACAAACCACTGGAGATCTCAAATGCTGCATTTCGTAGCGAGGAACAGTTTGATAGATTTGCACAGAGATGTAAACATTTATTACAAAAAAATCAAAGAAATGCTGTTAATGACCTTTTTCTTCCTGTTTATTCCTGCTACCAAAGTCTGGAGCTTTAGTGGCAGAGCTGTCCCTCATGGGCAGCCTGACCTCAAACAAGCATTAGGAGCTGAGAGTCTTGCAAGACTTCAGGTCCTTTTATCTCATTTTAGTGTTATTTGGGCAGCGAGGGCGTTCTCTGCCCTCTGCTCTGGTGAAGGCAGCCTCGGTGGTGGTTTCATTCTGAGGGGTGCTGCTCAGCCTTGCTGCAGCTGCTGCTGCCTCCTGTGCCTTCTCGAGTGAGGAAGATGAAGGATTGATTTGTTTCCTCCTCGTGCCTCCGTGGATCTCTGGACACAGGATCCTGTACCTCACTGATAAACTTGTATTTTAGACTTTTTCTCCTCTGGGGAAGAGTGACCTGCACAGAACCAAAGCAATAAATAATATTATTATTCCTAAACTAAATAATGCTCTGCTCTTAGCAGAGATGAAGCCTTAACACTTGGGCCAGCCTCTGGCAGCCTTTCTGAGCCAGTTCCAGCCAGGTGTGTTGGGTGGAGCCCGAGCTGAGCGGGGCTCCTGCCCCAAAAGCCTGGCCCAGCCCTCGTACCTTGTTTTAATTGGCAACACTCATTAAAGCCTTCCTTTGGTGTGAGGGGACTGGCATTTTACATCCTCGAGGGCCTGAAGAATCAAATCTGTTGTTTATTATTGAAGGATGTAATGCATGTTTGTACTCTGCTTTTAGCCCAGGTACTGTTTGTTTTTAAACACCTTTTGGTTTTATGGAACACTAAAATAAAGACACCTCAAACCCAGTTTTCTGACTGCCCTGTCTTTGTTCTGAAGGAGCAGTTTCAGAAGGGGCTCGTCCCCTCCTTGTGCCTCTCTGCTCATCCTCATCCTCCTCCAGGGGATGATAAGGTAAAGAACATAAAGTTAAGATAAAGAGGATGATAAATTATCAAATAAAGACACCTTAAACCCAGTTTTCTGACTGCCATGCCTTTGTTCTAGTTTCAGAAGGGGCTCATCCCCTCCTTGTGCCTCTCTGCTTATCCTCCTCCGGGCATTCCGGGCTGGTTCCATCCCTGCCGGGAGCTTCCTGCTAAACACCTCGCGGGGTGGGGAAACCTGCCGGACGGGCTCGTCCGCCCCTGCGGACCCGGCAGTTCCTGTGAGCACCGGCACGCACCGGGAGGGACTCTGGGCCCTCATGGCAGCGCTGGCCTCACTGCCGCGGGGATGGCAGGAGGAGGAGGAGGCCATCAGAGCCTCCGGCCGGGGTGTTTTGCAGCTTGTCCCCTCGGTGCCGCTCCCCCCGCGCTCCCGGGGCCGCCGCCTCCCCAGGGCATCCCCGCGGAACTGGCGAGGGCGGAACGCGGCGTGCAGGGGCGGCGGCGCGGCCGGGCGGGAGTAGGGGCGGACCGCGGGCAGCGCCGCTATTGGTGGGCTCGGGGCGGGCGCCGCCGCTATTGGCTGTTGGCGGTGCGCCCGCCCCGGCGCTCCCCCAGCGCGGCGGCGGCGATGGCGGCGCGGGGCCGGTGCCCCGAGTGCGGGTCGGAGTCGCTGGTGGAGGACGCGCACTACGCGCAGCAGCAGCTGGTCTGTGCTGCGTGCGGCTGCGTCCTGTCCGAAGGGCTCCTCACCACCACCTACACCGACGAGGAGCATCTGCGGGGTGCGGCACCGGAACCGGGAGCGTCCGCGCTCGGGGTGGGGGGTGCAGGACCGGCGGTCCGCAGCTCGTTTGGGCCTCTCCGAGCCGGCCCGAGAAGCGAAGCGCTCCCCGAGCTGTGTCTCGGAGTGGCCGTGGGGCCGTGCCGGCACTGTCCGGTCCGGCCGCTCCCCCGTCTCCATCCCCCCAAACACCGGCGGGGTTTTCCATCCCGGGGCACACCCGCAGCACTTCCCGGTCAGGGTTTGGCTTGGAGCCGGTGATGAGCTTTAAATTTAAACTGGGGGAATCTCTTATTGTTAAAAGTGGTGATTAAAACCTCATTGAAATCTCTTAGAAGAGCTTTAAGTGCAGCGGAGCAGCCCGAGGCCGTTGCCTGGCATCTGTCTGGAGGAAATCCCTGGCTCTGTCTGGAGGGAATCCTGCCTCTCTCTGGAGGGAATCCTTGGCTCTGTCTGGAGGGAATCCCTGGCTCTGTCTGGAGGGAATCCTTGGCTCTGTCTGGAGGGAATCCCTGGCTCTGTTGTCTGGAGGGAATCCTTGGCTCTGTCTGGAGGGAATCCCCGGCTCAGAGGAGATCCAAGAGCTCGCTTTTACCTGTGCTGCTCTAACTCAGCGCCCTCAAACAGTTCTGCTTGCTGCAGCCCAGTTCTGTGGGCATCTCCTGGCCCCAGATCCCAGTGTCTCTGTGCCTGGATTCCCTGCAGGACTGACTGACCCCTCCCTGTTTTCCAGAGGTCGCCTATTCCCAGAGCACTGGCCAGAAGGAGCAGCTGAGCCGCTGCCTGCAGCGAGGTGAGAGCACCCCATCGTCCCTGCCTGCCTCTCCCGTTTGTTTCACCTGGTTCTGGTGGTGACAAAGTGCCCAAAACCCCTGGCTGGCCCCAGATCCCAGTGTCTGTGTGCCCGGATTCCCTGCAGGACTGACTGATCCTCCCTGTTTTCCAGAGGTCGCCTATTCCCAGAGCACTGGCCAGAAGGAGCAGCTGAGCCGCTGCCTGCAGCGAGGTGAGAGCACCCCATCGTCCCTGCCTGCCTCTCCCGTTTGTTTCACCTGGTTCTGGTGGTGACAAAGTGCCCAAAACCCCTGGAGCTGAGCCGGGGGAGGGCACCTGGTGCTGCATCCAGCCGGTGCCTGCCTGCCCCCAGGGACTGGGAGGGTGCAGGGCTGGGTGAGCGCTGCCTGATTTTGTCATTTCGTGTTGATTCAGTTGATCCTTCAGAGAAGCTTAACATTATAAAAACCAGGGAATTGTGGAGACCCTGGGGGGGCATTCCCTGGTCTGGGGAGACACAAGAAGCGTGCCTCAAAAAGCTGTCAGACCCCACTGGCTCCCTCCCCTCTTCCTATGTCCCTGACCCACTCCTTCCCTATTCCCTGATTTGCCCTCACCCTTGTACTGCCCTGAGACCAGGGGCAGCCCCCAGGCCCCTGCAGAGAGAAAGTGAGACTCTGTGTGTGTGAGTGCTGAACATCTCAGGGCAGGGCTGAAGAAAACATCTGTGGATACCATGCAAAAGTCCTTTTTGCATCCTGGGCTACGCTAGCAGCAGTTCATCCTGCTACAAACGCTTCTGAGCAGAATCTCCTCTCTCCCCGCAGGGATCCGGCGAGTCCAGGACCTCTGCAAGGTGCTGCAGCTGCCAGCCACGTTCGAGGAGACGGCTGTGTCCTACTTCCAGAGGGCTCTGCAGCTCCCTGCCTTCCACCTGGTCAGCCTGGAGAAGAAGGAGCTGCTGGGGGGCTGCTGTGTGTTGGTGACGTGCCGGCAGCACCGCTGGCCGCTGACCATGGGCACCGTGTGCTCCCTGCTCTACGCCAAGCAGGAGCTGTTTGCCAGCGTCTTCCTGAGCCTGCAGAAGGAGCTGGGGCTCTCAGTGCCCGCCCTGAGCCTGGCAGACCTGGTGACAACACACCTGAGCAGGTGATGGGGCCCTGGCAGTCCCTGGCAGCCCGTGTTTGTCCTGGCTGGTGGAGGGGCTGGGGGGTGACACAGGTGTGTGTGCTTGGGATGGGCTGGCTTTTGTCCCTCCCTTGTCACAGCTGGGCTGTGATTCTCATCCTGCCCCACTGTCAGTTTGGAGAGGGCAGAGAGGTGCTCAGGGAGGCACCATGGATCACAGGATCCCAGATCTCTGAGGTTGGAAAAGATCTCTGAGGCCATCGAGTCCAAGCTGTGCCCGATGCCCACCTTGGCACCCAGCCCGGAGCACTGAGTGCCACCTCCAGGGATGGGGACTCCACCCTCTTCCTGGCAGCAATTCCAGTGCCTGGGAACCCTTTCCATAAAGAAGCTCCTCCTGGTGCCCACGAGCAGCAGCCATGGCAGGAGCAGGGTGTGTCTCGTGTTTGCTGGGTTCCCAGATGAAGTGAGGAATTATGAGTCTGACTCCTTGTTCTCAGAAGGCTAATTTATTATTTTATGATCTAGATTATATTAAAGAATGCTGTACTAAACTATACTAAAGAATACAGAAAGGATGCAGATAATAAGGCTAAAGAGATAATAATGAAAACTTGTGACTCTCTCCAGAGTCTGACACAGCTTGGCCGTCATTGGCCAATGAGTGAAAACAATTCACACGAAACCAATCAAACAATCACCTACCACATTCCAAAGCAGCAAAGCACAGGAGAAGCAAATGAGATAATATTTCCCTTTTTTTCTGAGGCTTCTCAGCTTCCCAGGAGAGAAATCCTGGCGAAGGGATTTTCCCAGAAAACACGACCATGACAGGTTTGTCCCCGAGGCTCCCCCTGACTTTGACTCTTTGCCCCCGCAGCTTCCGGCTGGTGCAGCCCACGGCCAGCGTCCCTGCGCCCTTCCTGGAGGACAAGGAGAAGCTGCTGGCCAGGACCATGGCCATTGTGGAGCTGGCCAGTGAGACGTGGCTGGTGACGGGCCGGCACCCCGTGCCCGTGGTGACGGCCGCGGCGTTCCTGGCCTGGCAGTCGCTGCGGCCCGGCCCGCGCCTCTCCTGCCCCTTGGCACGGTTCTGCCGCCTGGCAGGGGTGGAGCTGCCCCCCCCGGCCCACCTCAGGCTGAGGGAGCTGCTGGAGATCCTGCTGGGAATGGCCTCCCAGCTCTCCTGGCTGCGAGCCTTCCGCCTGGACAAGAAAACGGTGGTGAAGCACATCGGGGACCTGCTGCAGCACAGGGTGTTCCTGCTGAAACACGCCTTCAGCCAGCAGGATGGGCAGGAGCAGCAGGGCACGGGCCTGGGCCTGGGCTCTGGGAGCCAGGACTGCCAGGGCTCTGGGAGCCAGGGCTCTGGGTGTGAGCCAGGGCTGAGCCTGGGCTCTGTGAGCCAGGGGTGCCAGGGCTCTGGGAGCCAGGACTCCCTGGATAAGGACTCTGTGAATAAGGACTCCCCAGGCCAGGACTCTGGGAGCCAGGGCTGCCTGGGCCAGGATTCTGTGAGCCTGGGCTGCCTGGATAAGGACTCTGTGAATAAGGACTCCCCCAGCCAGGGCTGCCCAGGCCAGGATTCTGAGAGCCAGAGCTGCCTGGGCCAGGGCTCTGTGAGCCAGGGCTCCCTGGATAAGGACTCCCCAGGCCAGAGCTCCCCAGACCAGGATTCTGAGAGCCAGAGCTGTCCAGCCCAGGGCTCTGTGAGCCAGGGCTCCCTGGATAAGGACTGCCCAAGCCAGGGCCCCCTGGATAAGGACTGCCCAAGCCAGGGCCCCCTGGATAAGGACTGCCCAAGCCAGGGCTGCCCAGGCCAGGGCTCTGTGAGCCAGGGCTCCCTGGATAAGGACTGCCCAAGCCAGGGCTGCCCAGGCCAGGGCTCCCTGGATAAGGACTCTGTAAATAAGGACTCCCCAGGCCAGGGCTGCCCAGGCCAGGCCCCCCTCAGCTCTCCTGCGCTGGCACAGCAGCAGGGCAGTCCCTGGGCAGGGAAGCAGCAACGTGGGGGCACCCTGAGGCCCCTGCTGCCCCCCTGCCTCATCCACCCCAGGAAGAGGCTGCGGGCGGCGGCTCCGAGCGCTCCGGCCGTGACGGGCGACGAGCCCATCTCGGACAGCGAGATCGAGCAGTACCTGCGCAGCCCCGAGGAGATCCGTGCCTTCAGCAAGGCCAAGGCGTGGCTCTGAAGGTGGCCGTGGCCCAGAGGGACAATTTGGGGACCAGAAGTGTGGAGCCCAGCGTGATTGTGCTGCAGGGAGCAGGGAATGAGGCTGTGGGGAGGGAGCAGGCTGTGTTCTCCTTAATGTGCTGGACCAAAATGGGGCTTTTGATGGAGTGACTGCTTCAGGTCGTGTTACATTCCTGTTATGAGTAATAAAAGTGCAGGTGCCAGGTTTTCCAGGGCAGCCTCACCTTGGACTTCTCATTCTTCAGCAAAATGACTTTGTGAGGGTGAAAAAACTGCAGGCCAGGCTGCATTTGAGCATGAAGTCTAAGAGAAATCACAGTAGATCTTGGCAGATTGGCATATCTTTAATATATTAAACAAAACATATCTGCTAGAAACATTCTATTCATATAAAAATGCAAAAAGACCCCTTTAAAGACATTTCTTTGGCATATTTCCCTCCCCTCCCCCCGGATATTGCAGGAAGCTCTGTTGATATGTCATTCGCTTGTAAACAGACAAAGTGTAGTTAAGAATACAAAGCTTTTTCTCTAATACTGTCACAATGCAGCAAGCAATAGAACCATGGGGCATCAGCCAGGCTGGGGAGGCTGCAGGAGCTGCAGTAAGGGTTGAAACTGTGTTAAATACCAGGGACAATGGAATATTTCAACATTTAACTGGGCAGAGAAGCCGAGGCAGGCAAGAGTGGCAGGTTAAGCCCAGGGGTGCCCCAGCCCCGTGGGGTGAGTGGTTCCCAGGTGAGACCAGTCCCCACTAAGTGCTTTTTCCTCCCCTGGCTTGTGGCCCTGCCAGCCCCACGACCCCTCGGAGGTAGCTACGTTATCAGACTCATTTGCAGGCGGGGGAAAGTGAGGCAGGGGAGGCTGGAAAGGGCAGGGGAGGCTCCCACCTTCCTCCTCTGCTTTGCTGCAGCCTCTCTGCAGCCTGGCTGTTTTACCTGTGTGCTGGGAAAAAGGGGAAATTTGTTTTTTAATGGGAACAGTAAGTGCTTATCCAGGTTCCAGCCCTTTGACAGTCCAAGGAAGGTCTCTAATTCCTTGGCATCATTCTCTTGCATTCTCAGGAATGGTCCCTGCTCCCCAGAATGGTCTCTGCCTTCTTAAGAGCAAACCTAGGTATTTTCTGAGCTTGAAGCCTGGATTAAGGACACAGAGCTGCTCTGGGCCTCTCTCACATCTTGGTTCTTTGGTGCTTTGGCACAGAGGGTCAGTCCTGGCAGCAGCAAGGTCTGCCAGCCCACCCCAGTGCATGGCTTGAGCCTCTGAGGGCCTGGGAGCATTTTGTGGCTGTGAATTTAGTGTCTGGAGCCTTTTCTGGCCCTTATTTTAGTGTCTGGCGTTAAAGCAGTGCAGACAATCACCTCACCTTGGAGCTGAGGCTCCTCTTACCTTGTGCTTGGCTTTGCAATATGGCTTTGGCACCGCGCAGCCCCCGGGGCTGGCACAGCTAGGAACGTTCCAGAGGGAGCAGCTGCCCTCCAGAAGCAGCGTGCTCAGGCTGGGGCTGCGCTGCCTGGACGTGAAGGGCACTTGGAGTGATCCCTCGGCGGGAATATTGCAGTCGTGGCACGGCGGGCCCCGGCCCGGGGCCGGGAGGGGGCCCTCGTGTCACCTACGGCTCTGTCTATACATATATACATTCAATAATATAGCTTTGAAAAATAGACCTTTCCTCTGTAGAATATAAAATAGCATTTAGGATCAATCTCAAGTGACATGCAGGAGTGATTAAAGCACGGCTGCGATTCCGGCACCGCGGCGGGAAGCTCCGAGCCTCCTCGGGGAGATGGGTGGGCCCGGGATCGTGCTGTGCCCGGGGGGACCGGAGCCCCCGGCTGTGCCGCCCATCCCTGCTAGTGCACCGGGTGATGCCGCAGCGCTGCCCCCGCCGTGCCCCGAGCGGCTCCGGCCACGGCTCCCGCAGGAAAACGCTGCGGCCGTCGGTCCTTCGCCACCTTCACACGGTGGTTTCGCTCTTCCAGAGGCCGGTCTTCATGCCGGCCACGCTGTCGGCGCTGGCCAGGTTGATGTCGTACTTGCTGCCCTTGAGGCCGCCGTTGTGGCTGCCCACGTTCAGGGGGTACGAGCGCCGCTTCGCCTCCCTCTCGGCGCCGCCGCCCGGCCGCAGGTTGTCCCGGCTGCCGCTCCTCCGGCGAGCCTCGGCGAAGTCGGGCACCCTCCGCCCGCCGTCGCTGCCCTCCGAGGGGCTGGGGACCGCGTCCCCGTCCTGCGGCACCCGCGGCCCCGCACGGCCGCCGCTGCCCGGGCTGGTCCTGCCGCTGGGGTAGCTCTCGGAGTGGCTGTTGTGGAGGCTGCCGCTCTCGCTCGACGGGTGCTCCGAGGGGCCCCGCAGCATTTTCAAGCGGTGGTGCTTCCCGTCCCGGCACGGCTTAGTTCTGCCCCGGTGGCTCCTGCGGCCGTGGAGGTTGCTGGTGTGCCTGACGGGCTTCCCGTCGGCAGCGTCCGGCTCCGGGCAGGGCGCCGGGCGCGATTCCGCCTGGCTCTGGGCTACCTGCAGGTTGGTGAGCTTGCAGCGGCCCCCGGCAGAGCCGGCGCTGCTGGGCGAGGAGGAGGAGGAGGCGCCGGAGCGAGCGGCCTCTGGCTCGCAGCCGATGAAGACCTGCGAGCCGTCCTCCGGCCCCAGCCCGGGGTGCACGTAGGCCTGCATGGGCAGCGCGTTCCGGTACGACGGGCAGCAGGAGAACCAGGAGCTGAGCACGTCCCGGCGCCGCAGGCAGTGATGGATGAAGATGAAGAGCCCCAGCGCCACGGCGGTGACGCCGTAGAGGCAGCTGAAGACGATGCTCAGGTACCAGCGCTGGGACACGGCCATGGCGCCGAACGTCCACAGGGCCACGTACAGGGCGTGGGTGGCCACCAGCGCCCAGAACTGCACCCGCAGAGAGTAGACACCGTCCCCCTCGGGGCAGGGCGGCCCCGAGTTCAGCGTCACCGAGATGGAGCCAGAGTCTGTCAGGAGGTCACCGGCGGCCCCCAGCCGCGGCGGGGGCTCCAGCGGCTCCGGGATGTCTTTCTGGTGCGATGGTCGGCACTGGAGGCTGAGCCCGGCACAGAGGAAATAAATCCAGGTGACGAGCAGGATGAAAGCCACGGGGACGTAGAAGGCGCCCAGGCTGGGCCGCCACACCAGCCAGCAGCTGTGCGAGAGGAGAGGGGCTCTGAGGGGCCATGGCTTGGAGCTGCTCGGCACCCCTGCCCTGATTGCAGGGCTCTGTGGAGCTGCGCCGGCTGCCTGGATGATTTTTTCCCCCAGTATATGGATAACTCTCAGGAAAAAACTCACTGACCTTTTCCCAAACTTCTCCAGATTCCCAGTGCCACCATTTCCCTGCCCCAGCAGACGGAGGCCACCCACGTGGGAGGGGAGGAAAGGTGGAGCAGGGACACTTACTAGGGGTTGTTGTCGTGGTAGTTTTGGATGTTGACAGCTGCTGTGATCCCACAGATGATGAGGGGGATCCCGCCGGCGATCAGGTAGAACCTGCGGGGAGGGAAAGTGTCAGCGCACACCTGGAGCCCGCGGGAGAGCACGGGATGGGCTCGTCCAGGGCAGCAAGCCCTGCCCCAGCCCCTGGAGGTGCCCCGCGGGGCCGGGGCAGGGGGAAGGGGGGCCCATACCGCAGCATGGGTCTGGGGGCTGCCTGGGACGTGTCCCTGTCCGCCTGCTGTGGCGCCTTCCAGGTCAGCTCCTTGTAGAGCACTCGGGCTTTCACCGCCATCCAGAGCAGCGTGGAGAGGGACGAGTAGTGCAAGATGATGCCGACCTGCGGGAGGAGGCGGCGGTTGGGGAGGGGACGCTGCAGCCCCCCGGTGCCCGTCCCGCAGCACCCCGCGGGGCTGGGCGCTGCCCGGTACCCACGGCCTGGCACACGGCCCGGTAGCCGGTGAGGGTGATGCCTCCCGCGAAGACGGCGGCCGTCATGGCGATGTGGAAGCACAGGTTAAGCAGCATGTGCCAGCCCTTCCGCGGGATGAGGATGGTGCTGCAAGAGCAAGAGCACAGCGGGCACCTGTGAGCTCCTGCCCGGCCCCGAGAGAGACACAAATCCTGCACCTGGGGGAGGCACCAACAGCCCCTCCCTGGCCACGGAGCGTGCCTGGAGGAGATGTACAGGTTCCTGCACAAAGGAACGTGCCCAGGCACGTCCTGGACAATAGACCAGGACCCAGGGCCACTCGCCGGGCAGCACATTCCCTGAGAATGAGCTTCCTCACTCTCCTGAGCACCCCTGTCCTAAAGGGCCATGTCACTGCACGGCCATGCCCGTTCACCTTCTCCTGGCTGTTGGCACCGGGGGAGCTGCTCCTGCTGCCCACAGAGACACCCAGCCCAGCTCAGCCCAGCTCAGCCCCCAGAGCAGCAACACAAGCACTGGACACTCCCTCACCCGTGGTGGACGATGTAGGTGATGATGGTGGTGAAGAGGCAGAGCAGCAGCACGGCCGTGCAGGTGTACATGGCCGGGTGCAGCACCTCCACAGCGCCTTGCGCCTCGCTGGGGAACCCACTGAGCTCCTGCACAGCACAGCACAGCCCGTCAGACCCCACAGCAGCAGCAGCCCTGTGCCCCTGACCCCCCCAACCACCCTCCTGCTGCCCCCCACGCTCCCTGCCCTGGCAACGCTCCCGCCCTGCTGCTCGCCCACACCTACCATGAGCACGGCCACGTTGCTGAGGTGCCGGCAGTGCAGGGAGGTGACGTTGGGCTCGCGGGAGGCCAGCTGGCACCCCTCGGCACTCCAGCCCCCCATGCCCCCCAGCACCTCGAAGTTCCAGTACGCAGCCACGGGGTCCGTGCCCTCCCCCGGGTGTCGCAGGGACACAGCCACCGGCTCTGACAGGTTCCCCACTCCGCAGCCATCTGCAGCCACAGAAAACCCGGTCAGCAGGACAAGTGACACCTCTCCACCTGTGCACCCAGAGGGGCTGGGCACAGGGGACATCCCACAAGCCCATTGTCACCTCCCCATGAGGACCCTGGGGGCGGCTCTGCACTGCGGGAGCACCACCACAATGCCCCAGGGAGCCCCACGGGGCACCCCAAGCTGCCCTTACAATGCCCCAGGGAGCCCCACCGGGCACCCCAAGCACCCCGCCATGCTGCCCTTACAGGTCCCGGCGTAGATGACTGGCGTGGCCACGCTGCGGCGCTTGCCATCGTCGGCCAGGCGGGAGGAGTTCCCGGTGCTGCAGAAGA